GAATCGGGGATAAAATGGGTGCAGTCCCACGTGCATGGGCTGGGTGAGCTCAAATGAAGCTCAATACGAGGCCCAAACCCAACTGGGTTGGGTGACGAGTACGTCATCGCACGATCCCACGTAAACCGGCCAGTGGCGAAACCAGCCAGTCATCCCGGGGAGGGCCCAATTTGCCGCGGCGCACTACCCCCACTCCGGTCATCCCGCGGCGCACCACCCCACTCCGGCATTGAAAGGGCGCTCAAAGGGCTTTTGTGGATGCTCTCAAAAATTTTCGCAAGATATAAATGAATACTCTAGAAATTTTTCTAAAAATCAAACTAAGTTCCGAATTAAACTGGTATACTTAAACTGAATTGTTTTAACTCGAATTTATACTAATAAAAATATCGGACTCAATTATAATAATAAATCAAGAATTATACTTTCCTTTTGAATAGACGAAAAGCTGAAAAATTTGAGAAAATGAAGCCTCGAACGATCAAACTCGTTCTCGACAAATTTGCTCTTTTTGATACTATTTAATGTAGAAATTCAAACTCCCATAATAAATGCTCGGAACTCCGAAAAATGCGAAATTTGTCCGTATGGAATCGTGCTTGAATTGTCTACACACTCCAACTTGGTTCTTGTTAAACCGAGGTCACATGCAACCTTACGGAACCCCGCAAAACGGCTTTTTATTCATCTATTATGCGCACTCGACTTCGAGTTTCTCAAAATAAATGCTCGAAACTTCGAAACGTGAAATAAATTTTATGAACGACTGTAACAACAAATTTTATGAAAGACATAAAACTTTTGTACAACTCGATCAAATGATATTGCGGGTACAATCTCTATTTATCTCCTCTGATTCTTCTCTTCATGGATTTGGGTTTGGATCTTCGAATATGGATTGAGCTTGCATAACGTTGACTCGAGGGCTTGAGAGCTTTTTCCTGAATCAAACGCTACGTTGCTTGAACTTCTCAACGAACGGGGCTTGAATGTCGCTTGAACGCCGTTGATATTCTTGGATTGACTTGAGAGGAGTGGAAGTCGTCTCTTTACTTCTTGAGGAAGAGTCGCCGCCTCTTTTTCTTCTTCTTGGCCTTCTTCTTCATTGAATGGACCTCGGACGGTTCTTCAAGAACTTCTTCAAATCTTCAAGAGGATTCTTGAGAGCGCTTGAATTTGAGACTTTGATTTTTGAGATGTGTTTTGAGGTGTGATTTGTGGCATTGAGGAGAGCCCTATTTATAGGTGAAGGAGAAAGAGTCTTGGAAAAGAAGGCATCAATTTGATTGGTCCTTCTTGATTTGATATAATCTCTTTCTTTATCCTAAGATTTGATATTATCTCTTTCCTTATCCTAAGATTTGACTTGGTGGGC